CTCAGCTGGCTGGTCCCAGTTTGTGGAGAGCTGCACTGCACTCTAATCGAGGCTTTGGACAATTATAACCAGCACAAGCCATGGGTTGACTCATGGGGTGCAAGTCTTCCCGTTTGTGCTGTGTGCGTGTGTGTTGTTTCTGTTCATTAAAAATTGAAAAGATTGAAGGGTGAAATTTCCAGAGGTGGTGTTGTTGGTTTTTAAATGGTTTTATTTAACCCCTCTGACCACCGTGATGAACTGGGTGTTTCTTCTTCACTAACTATCTGTGAATAGACCTCTCCGCATTTAATTTTAATTTATTAAGATTTATCGTTATTATAAATAACGATAAATCCTTCATAGATTCTTCCGGCTTTGTTATTGTCAGCATAAACTGATTCCTGCTTCATTTCCCGTATAGAGGATGCCACGCAAAGTGTTTGAAACTGAAGGCGACTACAAAGAAAGGAAAGACTGACAGAAGGAAGCGGAACCCTACAAACTCATTTCAACGGGATCAAAAGAATGAAATGGAGCTAAATATCTAGATTCAAATTCAAAACTCTAAAATACTGAAAATAATAAGGCTCTCTTCTTATAATTTGTCACTATGAACCTTTAAGAGAGACTACAGATGCTAAAGAGACTTTATTGAAACAGAGACAATCATCAGAATTAAGTGATGCAAAGCTAATCAAACCGGTTGGTTGGAGGATCAATGAGCGCTGGTGGAGACAAACCTCTGAGATCACAGTGATTGAACATCATTAAAGAATAAAAACATCATCAAACCTCTGGGTTTCTGCTCAGTGAATGTGCTCACTTCTTTTACCATGACCGCTTTCACTTATAATAGCACAGGTACACAGGAGCAGCTCCCAGGATGCCTGTGTTGAGGCTTTTTGGGTTCACTTTGAGCCCCTCTTTCTCATACGCCTGCTTTGCTGTTGGGTCGGTGAGCAGGGTGACAAGAAAGACAGGTGCTGCCCCTGTCTTTCTTGTACCACAGGAAAACCATGTTTCCTACAGTGCCCTCGTTCAGATCCTGGTTGACGATTTCATAGCCTTGCTCTTGAAAGCCCTTTTGCTCATTGTCATTGGTGGAGATTTCCAGCTCAGTGATGGTGTCCTTGGGGGCCGTGGTCTGACGGTACCAGATGAAGATGTAGGGCCCTCCTGCTCCCCTGTTAGTGTCTTCATTCATCTGGATGTAGCCATCATTGAAGTTGTCTTCATCTTCCTCAAATTTAGCAGTGGCCTTGATGTCACAGATGTAGGTGGGGTTCTCTCTCTTCAACCACAGATAGATCCAGTTTCCTCCAGTGCCACGGTTCAGGTCACAGGCCAGTCTCTCCCAGCCCAATTTATACTTGTGGGGTTCATCTGCTGCTTGTACTGAGACATCAAGTTTCTTGATGGGAACATCGTACTTTAAGGAACCTTTGTAGTACCACAGGTAGATAAGGTTTCCACCTGCTCCCTCGTTGAGGTTTTTGTCGATCTTTTTGAACCCTGCACTGGACAGACCCTTGGTCATCATATCGTTGAAGGAAATCTGAATCCTGGTAATTGCATTGTTGCCTTTTTTGTACCGGAGGTACACGGAGTTTCCCCCTGCTCCTTCATTCAGATTAACAAAGATTTTCTTGAAGCCTTGTTCATGGAGCATGAACTCATCGGCTTTGTTCAAAGACACTTGGAGCTCAGCAATGAAGGACATTATGGGTTCCTGCACCAAACAGAGTTGAACGAATCAAGAGTCAATCCAGATATAAAATGGTTTTAACAAGGGGAATCAGGATAGTATGTAATAGTAATAATGTCAACAGCGCCGAGTAAGAAGCTCTTTAAAGGGAAAAAATTACTAAAGAGCAATCTGCACACAATCACAGTATTCATGTTTTTGGAACAATTTGAGAAATTATGACATTACAGTCTTTATTCTGAGCCTGAAATGATTAAACTGATCCCAGAGGAACACTCAAACAGACCAAACTGGAAATGTGGGAAAAACAAGCCTATAAATAGTACAGCAGTCTAACTACCTTTAATTTTAACAAGAATAAAATAAAAAGTGTAATGCTGAGCGAGTGGTTGTAAACTTACGAGTGTGCAGAGATGGTGTGTGGCTGGATGAAGTCTTCTGTACGGCAGAAAGCTGTTGATTTCTGACAGAAACTCCTTCCTTTATATACACAACAGGAGCAGCAGGATTATGAAATCACTGTGCGTGTGTTCATATCCACATAGTCATCTCAGAGAGGTCTTACATCCTTTTAATAACATGGTCAACGATGTGGGAAGACTGTGTTTCATGTTTAATGTGTACCAGCTTATTTGGCACACTTAGGAACTTTATCACACCGATACCTCCTGCTCTAACGGTTCACTCGACTGAACAGTGACTTCCTTGTTAAAAAGATCCATCATATCAGAGCCAATATCACCCTTTCTTCTATTCAATTTTATTCAGGCCACCGTACTGCAGACCAGTGTATCAGAGACACAGCCCTGTGACCTCACATACTGTGGACGTTCTGTGAGGTAGTCCAGCATCCACTGGGACATGTGGTGGTCCACTCCCGATAGCTCCAGCTTGTCTCTCAGAAGTCGGGGCTGGATGGTGTTAAAAGCTCTGGAGAAATCAAAGAACATGATCCTCACAGTG